CCCGAGGGGCCCTTACGACGGCTCGCGCTCCGAGCGTCTGCCTGCCCCCACTTTTCCTGCTGCTGCAGGCGGAGCGGCTAACAAGCAGAGGGTGGGCAGCCGCGGAAAAGCGCGCGAGAGCTCGGCAATCTTAGTAGCGCCAGGCCACGGCGTCCTACGAAGGGCGCCCCCACACACACACACCGGTTGCAGTGGCTCTTTTCCGTGGGGCCTCGTCCGAAGGGAGCGCTTACCCGAGCCTTCTGGCTCTTTAGCGGTCGAGACCTGTTCTGTAGGCGAGGGTGTAACTTCTGCTCTGCTGCAGAAATCCAAGTTGGAGGGTGATGGATTTGTGGCTGTTTCCGGAGAGATGACTCCTGTATTGCCAATGAAAAGGCAACGCTTCTACCCACCGTTTCCTTCTGAATGGATTTCAGGAACGAGCGATAACGAAACAGAGGGAAACTTTCGGGCGATTTCAAGTGGGAGGCAATCCTATAATTTTGTACTTCTCTCCATAAAATATCCACTATTTGCATAGAGGGGAAAAAAAGAAAAACGAAAACCTTCATTTAAGTTTAATACATCCCCCCCCAAGCCTTCCTAAACCCAAACGAACTCCCTAGAAAGCTCCTTCCCTGATATCGTGATTGCTACTCTCTGTGGTCCTTGGCCACCAATGTTTTTCAGCTGACACCAAATGACAGCCTCTCCCAATCTGGGACAAGTTCCAGTTCTGAGGGCAGAGTCTCTGTTGTAGGGTGAGCAGTCTTAGCCTTGTGAAACCTAAGGGCTATCATTCATATTCTTAGATATGCAAAATATCCCTCCAGCTGGTGAACAGGAGTTTGGAATTAAGGAAGGGTGAGTTTGAGCACATGGTCAGCCCAGGAATTTCTGATCAGTTTTAAGAAAACACAACTGACTCCAACTTCCTTCCTTATCCAAATCCACTCTAGGTTTTTCCCGAGCCCAGAGTTCTGTTTTCAACAACCTAATTTAGAAGGAAACTTGTCAGGTGTAGTTTTCAGACACCTGGGAATTAAATCAGCCCAGGATCTATCAACATATATTATTCACCACTTTCCGCTACCCCTGCTCTATACTAGGAGTAATTTTTAAGACATGCAAAGTTTAAGACATGTCCTGTTACTGAGATGTTGAAAACTGTACAGCGTAGATCAGAATTTTTTTTTTAAGTCTGAATTTGCATGCACAATGGAGAAGGAATAAAAACTTGTTCTTTCCTCACTTGTTGTAATTAGATACTGTGAGTAATTGAAGGAGCCCAAGAGGAAGAGAAAAGGGCAGTGATAGAAGAAGATGCTGTATAGCAAAGTAAGGGTGATCTGAGGATCCCCAGGTGGAGAAATGGCAACTGGTGGGGGTGGGGGCTCTGGAGAGGATAAAAAGGCTGTGTTTTGCCAGGTAAAATTGTAGTTGTCTTGGGAAAAATACTGCATTGTCACAGTGAGCATTAGGCTAAAGCATGGCTTGTTTTAATCATGATTTGTGTAACTACAGCAATTTGGTTCACACAAAACACTTTAAACAGTGATTTACAAACCATAATGACTGTGTTGCCACATTATGCTAAATCAAAACTGAACAATACATTGGCTTAGGTTGTCGCACAAATTTTGCTGCCACATTTAAGGACAAATATCTGAAGATGTATCAGTTCACCTAAGGACACGGTGCTAGCGGACTACAGGCCAGCTGAATATACCAATACTATTTGTTGTACTCCAAAATAAAGGCATCCAAATTGACTGACAGATACATTTAACTCCATAGGATATTGTGTTTATAGGCTATTTTAAATTTTGCAATCAGGATTTATTTCAGTGGCCTAAATAGTACCTGCAACTTTAGATAGGAATGTGGCTAATAGAACTCAATTTTTATTTGAATGAACACCTAAAGCTTGAAACAGAAACTTTCTATGCTTGGCAGAATTACAGACTATTTGGATAACTATTCTATTATGCTTTTATAATAAATGGAAAATGTGTATTTTGGATATAGTTTTTCTAATATGACAAGAAACTGGGATCTTTGCTAAGCACCATTTTTCCATGTCTGGCTGGAAAGGAGACATTTAAATGAAAGTGATTTGGTCAACTTTGATGCAAAGAGCAATTACTTAATTTCCATTTCTTGGAGTCCTGTAGGGTTTGGGAAGTAGAAAATGCAGAGGAACAGAAATATTCTGCTGAACAAAGGACAAAACAAGTGTTTTATTACCTGCATTTTGCCAGACAAGAACGAGGAAGAACCAACCTTTTATTTTGGTTCACTCTTTGCATATAGTCTTCCCTAACTTGGCAGTCTCCAAGTAAGTTGGACTATATTTCCCATCATTTCCACTCTGCATGGACTCTGGACATCTTCCTGGGGATAATGAGGCTTAAAGACCAGCACATCTGAGGGGTGCCAAGTAAGAGAATTCTTGCTATACATAGTTTACATTTTTTTAGCTTATCCTAATAGTCATTCACATTAAATGAAGTCAGAAACTATTTGTATTTAATTCCATGCTCAAAAATATCTAGCCCCAGTCTATAAAGGCTTAATTACTGCACTCCTGAAACCATTTATTCTGGAATAATGAATGGTTTTATTTGTTTACAAAAGTTGTTGTAAAATAACTTTTACAACAGTTGTTTACAAAAAGTTGTTTACAAAAGAACTAGTGTAAAATAATTCATTTTGTTTGTTTGTTTATTTATTTCTTTATTTGCAAGCAAAAGGAAGAATGTTAAAATACAGCTCTTCTACATTGATTATTCACACATTTCTGTAGTAAAATCCCTACTAATGCCAAACCTGGGTAGCTAACTAGTAATTATTTTAAATAAAAACATATAACAACCAATGAGTCTCTAGAACCTATAGAATATTGGGGAGGTCAGTTTATGAAGTTGGAAAGGGAGGGACTGAAAAAATGAAATGGTGGAAGCCCTCACATTTTACATTAAATGTCCACTGGACTTGCAGGTGGGGTTAAGTTTGGAAGGATAAATGCTGTAAAATCAAAACACCTTGCACCTTTTGTTCAGGGATCTTCCAACAGGGAGGAAAGTAATTTCCTTTAAAAAGGTATCATTTTCCTGCCCTTCCTTTTTCTCTCTCCTAATATCTCACAAGCTCATGGCAAGCCAGGAACAGCACTGCTTAACGTCTGTCCCAGGCCAGCTAGGGTGGAAATGAGTAATATTCAGGTGTACAATGTCTTTTTAACTAGAATCCCAAAGTCAGATGCAAGAAATATACT